AGGAGGCGGAGGTTGCGGTGAGCCGAGATCGCGCCATTGCACTCCAGCCTGGGTAACAAGGGCGAAACTCCGTCTCAAAAAAAAAAAAAAAAAAAAAAAAATTAGCCGGGCATAGTGGTACACAGCTGTAGTCCCAGCTACTCAGGAGGCTGAGGCAGGAAAATTGCTGGAACCCAGGAGGCAGAGGTTGCAGTGAGCCAAGATCACACCACTGCACTCCAGCCTGGGTGACAGAGTGAGACTCCGTCTCAAAAACAAAAACAAATAAAACACCCTACCAGGTGTGCCACCACATGACTGTAGTCCTAGATACTCAGGAGGCTGCAGCAGGAGAAGTGCTTGAGCCCAGGAGTTCTGGGCTGTAGTGTGCTATGCCGATCAGGTGTCCATAGTATCCTGGGAGTGGAGGACCACTAGGTTGCCTAGGGAGAGATGAACCAGCCCAGGCTGGAAACTGGGCAGGTTAAAACTTCCATGCTAGGCCAGGCAAAGTGGCTCATGCCTGTAATCAAGCACTTTGGGAGGCTGATATGGAAGGATCCCTTGAGCTTAGGAGTTTGAGACCAGCCTGGGCAACATAGGAAATCCCTGTCTCTACAAAAAAATTTTTAATTAGCCAGGCATGGTAGTACACACCTGTACTTCTAGCTACTTGGGAGGCTGAGGCAGAAGGATCATTTGGGCCCTGGATTTCCGGGCTGTGGTGTGCTATTCTGATCTGGTGTCTTCACTGAACTCAGCATCAATATGGTAACCTCCTGGGAGCAGGAGGCCACCAGGTTTCCTAAGGAAGGGCGAACCAGCCAAGTTCAGAAACAGAGCAAGTCAAAACTCACATGCTGATCAGTAGTAGGATCACTCCATGAAAAGGCACTGCACTTCCAGCCAGGGTAACATAGCGAGACTCGACCTTAAAAAAAAAAAAAAAAAAAAACAAAACCTGAAAAGCACAGCTGGGGAAGGCCATGAAGAGAAGGTTCTCATGCACGATGCCTGATAACAAAACCTATCAATCACGAGACTCTGCAAAAACTATAACCCTGTACAACGGCTATCATCACCTACCCAGGAACTGCCTGTCCAAACTTGGACTGATGCCACCTTTGTTATTAATCCTCATAGCCAAGGATAAGTACCTGAAAACAATTATGAAATTCTCATCTTTTCCTTAAAAACCTTTGTCAGCCTGCTGCAATGGCTCACACTTGTAATCCCTGTACTTTAGAAGGCCAAGGCAGGAGAATCGCTTGAGCCCAGGAGTTCCGGACCAGCATACAGCAACATGGTTAAACCGCATCTCTACAAAAGATACAGAAAACTTGGCCAGGCATGGTGGCACATGCCTGTAGTCCAAGCTACTTGAAGGAGCTGAAGTGGGAGGGTCACCTGAGTCTGGGAGGTGGAGGCTGCAGTGAGCCAGTATCACGCCACTGCACTCTAGCCTGGGCAACAGAGTGAGACCCTGCCTTAAAAAACAAACACAAACAGCAAAAACCCTTTGTCTCCCTTTACGTCCCTGAATATACACATAGTTTACTATAGCACACACATTCCCATTGCAATACCCATTCCAAATCAGTATCATTTTCTTTTAGTCTCCGTCTCTGTGACTTAGGATGACATGCCCAATAGTTCAGTATAGGTCCCTGGGGACTAACTCTCACTGGTCCAGGTTGGATTATGGCATTATGCTTGCATCAGTCAGAGTGGCTGGTGCTTACCCCTGGTTATGTGCCCACTCCAGGGCCCAGCGTTGGGGTCACCCACATGCAAACCATGTGTACTGAGAATGGAGGAGGGATGGTTCTTCCAAAGAAAATGAAGGTGCTGCAACCTGACGCTGGGCAGGCAAAAATGACACTGTCATTCTACTTCCTGTGGATACTCAGTGCCCCTCACACTAGCATATGCCTTCCATGTCTTTCTACATTTTTAAACATCTGTTTATGTAGAATAGGGTCTTCCCATGATGCCCAGGCTGGTCTCAAACTATTAGGCTCAAGCAATCTTCCCTCCTCAGCCTCCCAAAATGCTGGGATTACAGGCGTGGTCACCTTACCTGGCCTCCTTATTTATCAAATACTGTTGATGGGCTGGGCGCGGTGGCTCATGCCTGTAATCCCAGCACTTTGGGAGGCTGAGGTGGGTGGATTACCTGAGGTCAGGAGTTTGAGACTTGCCTGGCCAACATGGTGAAACCATATCTCTACTGAAAAAACAAAAATTCGCCAGATGTGGTGGTACATACCTGTAATCCCAGCTACTTGGGAAGCTGAGGTAGAATCGCTTGAACCCAGGAGGTGGAGGTTGCAGTGAGCCAAGATTGAGCCACTGCACTCTAGCCTGGGCAATAGAGTGAAACTCTGTCTCAAAAAGATTGTTTCTGAGGCCGGGCGCGGTGGCTCAAACCTGTAATCCCAGCACTTTGGGAGGCCGAGGCGGGTGGATCACGAGGTCGAGAGATCGAGACCATCCTGGTCAACATGGTGAAACCCCGTCTCTACTAAAAGTGCAAAAAATTAGCTGGGCATGGTGGCACGTGCCTGTAATCCCAGCTACTCAGGAGGCTGAGGCAGGAGAATTGCCTGAGCCCAGGAGGCGGAGGTTGCGGTGAGCCGAGATCGCGCCATTGCACTCCAGCCTGGGTAACAAGAGCGAAACTCTGTCTCAAAAAAAAAAAAAAAAAAAAAAAAAAGATTGTTTCTGGAGGTCCCTGACTCAAGAGCAGAGGTAGGCACACCTCTCAGAGTCACCACTGTGACTTTATTACAGAATACATGGCAGGCCTCCATCTGATATATGTTTATGGTGTTTCAGCTGTTGCTATCATTTGTTCCATCTGTTTTCTCTTTGGGAACTAGATATTCTCGCCTCTTCCTCCTCCTCCTCTTCTGGAGTAAACTATTATTATTGTTATTATTTTGAGACAAGGTCTCACTTTGTTGCCCAGGTTGGAATGCAGTGGCACAAATCTCGGCTCACTGTAGCCTCCATCTCCCCGGGCTCAAGCGACCCTCCCACCTCAGCCTCCTGAGTAGCTGGAACTACAGGAGCACGCACCACCATGCCAGGCTAATTTTTGTATTTTTTGTAGAGACAGGGTTTCGCCATGTTGCCCAGACTGGTCTTGAACTCCTGAGCTCAAGCCATCCACCTGCCTCGGCCTCCCAAAGTGCTGAAATAACAGGCGTGAGCCGCTGCACCCTGGGAGAAATTACTGATTCCATAAACCAACTACAAACATTCTGACCTTTAATTTAGCTATTCCCTTTTCCTGCAAAGCCACCAAATTCTTCATGTCAGATATCCCACCTGCCCACTCGGGCTGTTCAGGGAAGGCTGAAGTGATTGACGATAACAAACAGCAGTCTTCTGACTGCATTTGCTCTCCTGGACCCCCGGAAAAAACAAGAATTGCTGGCTGCCCAGTGGCTAGGTCCAGGTGATTTCACTGACAGCATCAGGCAGGCCCAAGAGCACAGGCAAGTTCCCTCCAAGAAGGACACAGTTTTTTGGTTTTCCTTCTTCGTGTTTTCCAGCTGACTCCCTTCTCCCTCTGGCCAATTTTACCCCATCCTCAGATGGTCCCTAGTCTTACTGCTCTATTCCAAATTGCAATGCAGCCCTCTCACCTGTCTTAGCTCTAAATACTGCCTACTTCCAGCAGGACCCTTCAACCCTATTTGAAAGGGACAGAACAACGTTTCCAGAACAAGTACAAACACACAAATCACTTCCGCCTTACTGATCCCTCGATCAACCACACATCAAACCCTTTTAAGAACTCTCAGCATGTGTATATTTGCTCATATCATGTGCACATACTAACTTGAACTTTGTAAAACACACACAAAAATAAACTTTTTAAACTGGGCATGGTGGCATGTTCCTGTAGTCCCAGCCACTTGGGATGCTGAGGCAGGAAGATTGCTTGAGCCCAGGAGTTCAAGGCTGCAGTGATTACTACTGCACTCCAGCCTAAAAAGAAAATTTCATTCTCATAAACATTTTTTAAAGTTTATATATTTATTTAGAGACAGAGCCAGACCCTGTCTCTAAATAAATAAACTTTTAAAACAAATTTAAATGTAAATAAATTAATTAAAACTGTATTATTTGGCTGGGCGAGGTAGACCACCCCTGTAATCCCAGCACTTTGGGAGATCAAGGCAGGTGGTTTGTTTGATGTCAGGAGATCAAGACTAGCTGACCAACATGGTGAAACGCCGTCTCTACTAAAAATACAGAAATTAGCCGGGCAGGGTAGTGCATGCCTGTAATTCCAGCTCCTCGGGAGGCTGAGGCAGGAGAACAGTGAAGGAGGGAAGGAAGGAAGGGAGGGAGGAGAAAGGAAGGAGTGCTCGCCAGGTGCAGTGACTCGGGAGGCCGAGGTGGGCGAATCACAAGGTCAGGAGATCGAGACCAACCTGGCCAACATGGTGAAAACCAGTCTTTACGAAAAATACAAAAATTAGCAGGGTTTGGTGCCGGGCGGCTGTAATCCCAGCTACTCCGGAGGCTGAGGCCGGAGAACTGCTGGAACCTGGGAGGCGGAGGTTGCAGTGAGCCGAGATTGCGCCACTGCACTCAAGTCTGGGCGACAGAGACTCCATCTAAGAGAAGCGAAGAGAAATAGGAGCTCGGTTAATGCTTGAACGAAAGCAGAACTCCGCACAGAGCCTGGCGTCCAGGTCCGTCAAACTCAGCCCTGGGGCTCCAGGACTGGGCACCCTTGAGCGGCAATGTGGCCAGCGATCACAACAGGTTCAGATGCACCGCCAAGCGATTGGTCCAGGAAGCGCCGGGTACCGACCAGCTGCAGGAAGCTGCCACCCCAGCTCTCCCGCGCCGGCGCCGACGCCGGCGCCTTGTTCCCAGAAAGGTCACATCCGGTCGGAACCCAGAGAGCCGCCGGAGTCGAGCCGGACGCCGAGGGAGGGCTGGATCCTGACGCGCAGGGCGGGGCCTCGGCGGGGCGGAGTAGGGAGGGGCCTCGACGGGGCGGGGCTCTAACGGGCCAAGCTCGCGGGCGTCAGCCAGCCGGGCCGGCGCTGCAGTTGAGCTGCGTGGTGGCTGTGGCAGGTGAGAGCCTCCGGAAGAGAGGCGGCCTCTGGCCCCGACCACGCTCCGCGATCTCTCACTCGGGCACCCGGCCGGGCCTGTCAGGGAAGGGCCGCCACCGCCGCCGCGCGTTCGCGAGGCCTGGCGCAGCCGCGGGACCCAGGAATGGCGTAAGGGTACCCCCAGACCTCGAGACGGCCCGAGTGGGTCGCCGGCTGTGGGACGGCGGCGTGCCCTTCCTTTCCTCCCTCCCAGGTTCGCACCCAAGCTCTGCTAGCGACCCGTCCGACAACTTCCGGACTCCCAGGTAGGGAGGAGCCCGTGTCATTGCTGCCAGTTACCCGGAACACATGGCCGATGTGCAAAGAGCATCCATCCGGGTCGGGACTCCCTCCCCTGACTTGTGGGTGCATCTACTCAAACTCTGTCGGCCCCTCAAGCAGAAATGCTGTGGGATCTCAGCCAAACCCCTCTTACAGTAACTCAGAGCCGACAGCCCTTCTGGAGGGATGGGGCATGGGATTGGATGGCCCCTAACCTTTCCCTCCTGAACTGGTTCATGCCACCTTGGTGGCTATAGTCCTACTGCCTTCATCTTTTCCCCTCTTCTTTGCTTCTCCCACCCCACTGGTTTTCCTGCCTCCCTCTTCAGAGGTAAGACACATGGCTGGACCAAGGCAGCAGAGGCCATATCATCCTGAGCTAGGGATGGGGGAGGCTCCCAGGGATGAACTTGTGACTGAACCTAATCTCTGCTCCCTACTTCCACCTCACCCATGCTCAGATGACAGGAGGCCAGGTCTAAAGACTGATTGATAGTATCTACACAGGACTGGGACAAAACAGTGTATGAGGCAACTGACGGCAGTGATGTTAAGCTGCTGTTGCCCCTTCCTGGTTGCCCCAGTTCTAGCAGGCGATGTGACACTACGGTGGTCACTGTCCACATTGAGAAGCGGAGGGAGGTGCTGCTGGCCCCTGGAAACACTCATAGCTCCACTGGGAGTTTGAGGCTCTGGTATGGGTGCATGTGGGCACGGTGAGGAGCCCTGGATGTAACCCAGTGGCTCTGGGAGCTCAATTTCTGGGACCAGTGGGAGCAGTGACAAAAGGAGGAGAAACCCCCCAGTAGACATGCGGCTCTGACCCACTCCTGCTGCCCCTTCCGTCAACTTCCCTGGGGAGGGAGGACCCGTCCCCAGCAGAACCCTCATCGAGGCACTGTAGGGGCCGGAAGAGTGGTCCAGGGAGCCACAGCCAAATGGCACTCAAGGGCCAACACTAGACATTGCCTCTCCATTCCTGAGCGTGGGGCAACGGCCCCTGCTGAGTTTTACTCTTAGCGTGGGCTTCCAGATCCCCATACTCCTGGGTTCCTGACTGCGTGCCCTCACCAGCCACCTCTCTGTGTCCCTTACCTCCTCAGGGAGAGCCCTGCCATCGAGGAAGGCAGCACGGGACCAGGACCCACCCATGAACCCTTCTCAGGACAACCTAACAGCACCAGTGGGGATGCTCTCCTAAGCCACAGAGAGCCTGGGCACACCATCCGTCCTCCAGGAAGAGCCATGGTGTTAATGCAGGGCAGGGACAGCTCTCAGCAGTGGCCTGGTCTGGGAGGCAGGGGTGGTGGCACAGGTCCCGCAGACATGCTCAGAGCTGCCCTGCTGCTCATCAGCCTGCCATGGGGGGCCCGAGGGACAGCCAGCACCAGCCTCAGCACTGCTGTGGGCCACACTGTGCCATTGACTGGGGGCCGCTACTTGAGCATTGGAGATGGCTCTGTGATGGAGTTTGAATTTCCTGAGGAGAGTGAGGGCATCATCGTGATCTCCAGCCAGTACCCAGGCCAGGCCAACGGGACAGGACCCAGCCCCACGCTGAAGGTCACATCCCTGGACACAGAGGTGCTGACCATCAAGAATGTGAGTGCCATAACCTGGGGAGGTGGGGGCGGCTTCGTGGTGAGCATCCACTCTGGCCTGGCTGGGCTGGCCCCACTTCACATCCAGCTCGTGGGCACCCATGAGGCCCCGCCCACAGTGATCGAGGAGCGGAGAGATTTCTGCATCAAGGTCTCACCTGCTGAAGACACCCCGGCTGCGCTCAGTGCCGACCTGGCCCACTTCTCAGAAAACCCAATACTCTACCTGCTCCTGCCTCTTATCTTTGTCAATAAGTGTTCGTTTGGGTGCAAAGTGGAACTTGAGGTTCTAAAGGGGCTCATGCAGAGCCCCCAGCCCATGCTGCTGGGCCTTCTGGGCCAGTTTCTGGTCATGCCCTTATATGCTTTCCTCATGGCCAAGGTCTTCATGCTGCCCAAGGCCCTCGCTCTAGGCCTCATCATCACCTGCTCGTCGCCTGGTGGTGGCGGGAGCTACCTCTTCAGCCTCCTTCTTGGAGGGGATGTCACCCTGGCCATCTCCATGACTTTCATCTCCACGGTGGCTGCCACTGGTTTCTTGCCACTGTCTTCGGCCATCTACAGCCGCCTGCTCAGTGTCCATGAAACACTCCACGTGCCCATCTCCAAGATCCTGGGGACCCTGCTGTTCATTGCCATCCCCATAGCAGTGGGCGTGCTCATCAAGTCCAAGCTCCCCAAGTTCTCCCAGCTGCTGCTGCAGGTCATCAAGCCCTTCAGTTTTGTGCTCCTCCTGGGTGGCCTCTTCCTGGCCTATCGCATGGGGGTCTTCATCCTGGCGGGTGTCAGGCTACCCATCGTGCTGGTGGGTATCACGGTGCCCCTGGTTGGCCTGTTGGTGGGCTACTGCTTGGCCACATGTCTGAGGCTGCCAGTGGCCCAGCGACGGACAGTCAGCATTGAGGTAGGGGTGCAGAACAGCCTGCTGGCCTTGGCCATGCTACAGCTATCCCTCCGCCGCCTTCAGGCTGACTATGCCTCCCAGGCCCCCTTCATTGTGGCACTGAGCGGAACCTCCGAGATGCTGGCCTTGGTCATCGGCCACTTCATCTACAGCAGCCTGTTCCCAGTTCCCTGAAGCCTCTGGGTCAAGCTTTCATCAGCCCCAGCACCCACACTCCACCTACTGTCCCGAGTTCTTGTGTACCAAAGGCCTTTAGTTCTCATGCACTATGCACTCAGAAAAATCCAGGCTTATTTTTTTTACTGATTTTTTTATTCTCCAGCTTTCAGTGCCAAGGAGGCCATGCTGAGTTAGGTAGGTGGGCACTGCCCAGAAAATATATTTCAATAAAAGACAGAAGCAAGCTTGGGTCCCTTCCAATCTTTGCCCTTTGGTGCCTAGGCTTGGGGGTAGAGTGTGCTGGGTAGGTGTGGACCAGGGTGGAGGACCAGCTTCGGTGACACGATGACCCCTGCACAGGCTTTCTCTATCAGCCCTCCCCGGGCGTATCCCCACTCTGGGAGAGGTGGAAGGATGAGAGCAGAGGCCTGGCTCCCCTGCCCGCTCTCAAGATCGGTGGGGTGTTTCACAGCCAGACCAGAAAGGAGGAGGCAGAAACCCAGCGGCCAGGGGGTGGGGGCGGGCCGTCTGTGGGTTTGCAGGGCCCGGTTCCCCCAGCAGTCAGGACACGTGGGGTGGTCCAGGCCATCCGCGGGGGCGAGCGTACCTCCTGGCCCTTCCTTCTCCATGCCCCAGCTCCTAGATGACGCCAACCTGGCCCGACTGGTTCTAGCTCCCAAATCCCCCGCACTGTGGCTTTGGGAAGGGTCCGCCGGCTAGGACAGTCGCTGCGCGTTTGCGAGGCGGGACCCCAGGGGGACTCCTCCTCCCGGGGCGCAATTGGGCCGGGGGGCGTGGATGGGGCCCGAACGGGACAGCAGGGCGGGGCCGGGAAGCGCGGGCGGCGGGCGCGCCCCTCTCGCTGCTTCCGGCGGCGGCGGGCAGATCCGGCGCGCGCCCGGGGCGGCGGCGCGCGGCGGGGGGTGGTTGGGGTGCGCGCCCGCCCGAGTGGACGCCGCCGCGGCCGCCATGCAGCTGACGGTGAAGGCGCTGCAGGGCCGCGAGTGCAGCCTGCAGGTAGGGTCCCCGGGCCGGGCCGCAGGGCCCGTCAGTCGTCCGCTCTGGCAGGAGGACCGGCAGGGCCGAGGGCGGGCACGGGGCGGCCGGGCCGGGGGCTGGTAGCCGAGAGAGCTGCCCTCGGTAGCGGACGCGTGGGCTTCGCCGCCCGAGGGCCGCGGGCTCAACCCCTGCCTCCTACCCTCGGCGCGGCCAGGTGCCGGAGGACGAGCTGGTGTCCACGCTGAAGCAGCTGGTCTCAGAGAAGCTGAACGTCCCCGTGCGCCAGCAGCGGCTGCTCTTCAAGGGCAAGGCCCTGGCAGGTACCCAGGGAGAGGAGACGCCCAGGGAGCCCCGCAGGAAGCGGGGGCCGGGGTGCTCCAGCCGCCTCGGCAGCCGGGTGACGGGTCGGGGTGCCGGCGCCCAGCGCCACTTTACCCCAGGGGAGGCGACCGCATGCTGCACAGCCGAATGCCTCATCGCTCTGCTCCCGCCGCCCGAGGCGGCCTCGCGTCCTGGGCCACCTCCACGGCGGCAGGGAGGAACTCATTGATCTGTCTTTGGCAGATGGGAAACGACTCTCGGATTATAGCATCGGGCCCAACTCCAAGCTCAACCTAGTGGTCAAACCCCTGGAGAAGGTGCTACTAGAAGGAGGCACTGGCCGGAGACTGGCCGACTCCTCATCCCCTCATGTCTGGCAGCTGATCTCCAAAGTCTTGGCCCGCCACTTCAGCGCGGCAGATGCCAGCAGGGTCCTGGAACAGCTGCAGAGGGTGAGAAGGGCAACCCTGGACATCCTCTCCAGGCCCAGCTGCTCCCAGCCCCCCACTGCCAGCCCCTGAATCCTTCCTGCCTTTCTCTCCCCAGGATTACGAGAGGTCCCTGAGCCGCCTGACGCTGGACGACATCGAACGGTTGGCCAGCCGCTTCCTGCACCCAGAAGTGACTGAGACGATGGAGAAGGGCTTCTCCAAATAGCATTCACAGAGCATGGGAGGTGCCCAACGCCAGGCCGTGGCTGAACATGTTGCAGTTGGGCTCAAAATAATAGCTGGCAGGTACCTGGCTCTGGCTGGGTGCTAGGCACCACTCACAGCTTGACCTGGGTTTGCTTCCACACCCTTGGAAGACGTGAGCCAGCACAGTGGAGGCGATGCAGTGGCAGAGCCCCAGTTGGAGTCCAGCAGCTTCTGAAAGTGCCTTGATGTGACGAGGAAGGGGCTGCTTGTAGAACTGAGCTCTCTCATGTCATATTTAGCCCACTGAGAATATACACTCAAGCAACTCCCTCCCAAGCCTGAAAGGGGAAGCAGCTGTCACCTGACCTCTGGCAGGTCCAGCATAACCCTCAGCTCACCGCTGCAGGAGGCCAAGTTGCAGCCAGCCCTGGATCCCCCAGATGCTACAGCCAGTGTGCGTTCTACAAATGGAAAAGCAGGTTGGGGCCAGGGAGTGAGAAAGTCACCCCAGCTCTGTGATCTGACTTCGGGCAAGTCTCAGTGCCACTTTGGTCCCCAGCCACAGACTCTAAACAGTGAGGGCCACCTCCTGATCTGAGTCAGTGTCCTCCGCCCTTACCCCAGCCCAGGGTGGGGAGTGTTAACAGTGCTCTTCTCCCTTCTGTTTAGCAAACAAACTGAAGCCAAAAGCAAAGCATGGCCAAGTGTGACCCAGAGATGGGTGGCCTGGCCTTTGGTGACACAGCTCTTCTCTGGGCTTGTCTCCTCCTCCAGGAAGCATTAGGGCTGATGGGTGACTCAGCAAGGCGGTGTCAGAGCTGGGACTGGTGTAGGCATTCATCCTCATCCCCAGCACTTGCCACTGTGTGGAAGACAAACACATCCCAGGCACCTTTGTGCAGGGGCTCACTTCGTATGCTCCTTGTTGCCTGAGAGGACACCTTGGGGTGCCAAGGCGGGGGCAGAAGCATGGGCTGGGTTCCAGTTCCTCCTCCACCCTGCCCTGCGTGTGGGCACTAGAGGACATCGAAGTGCCTGCTCCTTGGAGGGGGCCCCCAGGGAAGGTAGAGGCCGGAAGGAAGCCACAGGCAGGAAGACACCGCTCCAGCCCCTCTACCCTCGCCAAGGGAGCAGCTCAGTGTGGTCAGGGCTGCACGTGCCGGAGACCCTCCTGCCTGGGCCTTGTGGGCCAAATATTGGGTCCCCAGGCTGGAAATAAGGACAGAGGCCCAATGGGTGAAGGCTTTGAAGAGCACACAAAAGCCCCTGGCCACCCACGAGCTGGAAAGCCATGTATATGGCTTCAAAGCCATATATGGAGGGACACACTTGTGAGCATGTGTGACCTGCCGCTCAGGTGATACATTTACCAGAGTTCTTGTTTGGTGCCAGGAAATTAATTTTGGAAACTGAAATAACATTAAAGGTGAATGTGAAACTTCTACTTTGATCCAAAGGAGCTATATTAGCTAGGCTGCCTCTGGTATCCAATAATTGGTTTAAAAATAAAGGCAATTTGTTGAATCAGTAAAGGAAATTTCTTGGCTTATGAAAGAAAAAGTCCAGTGGTGCTGGCAGTGGCAGCAGGTGAGCAGTTTCACCCAGCATCTTCCTGCCTCCCTCTGCGTTCGTATCTGCTTCATCCCAGGCCATCACCTCCAAGGATGAAAAGCTGGCTGCCTGCAGCGTGCACGGAATCCCTGCCTCACTGCCAGAGAAGCGCCTTCTCTGTGTAGCACAGCTGCTGTCTCAGATGCCCCAGCAAATAAACACTCTTCTCATTGGTCACAACTGGACTGTGTGTCCAATCATTTTGGCTGGGGTAGGGGGTAATTCTCCTTCAGGGCTGTCTCCCTGAGCTAGGCATGGGGCCACTTCCCTGGACACACATGGGCTGTGCAAGAGACAGAAGGCTCTGGGGGAGGGCTGGATGAATGGATGTCATCAATGGTGGCTGCAAATGGCAGCCGTCTACTACAGGGGCCATGCATGTGTCAGAAAGATCAGGGTCACCTTGGAGGTAGTGGAGAAGAGGGCTGGAGGCATCAAAATCATAGAGGAAGCATCAGGGAGGGCACAAGAGGGAGGAAACATTGCCAAGATGGGAGATGGGAAGTGGGGGGACCATTAGAGGACACTGTGGGGATTGCATGAAGATGGACCAGCCACAGGCTCCAGCCCCCAAATGCTGAGATCCTTTAACAGGAGTCAGAATGTTTACTGCAGGTGCTGCACCCCTCTGAGCCAATTGTCTGCTCTGAGAGGTGGCACTGAGTCATCCACTAACCCCTGCCCCTCAAGGAGGGGCCTCAGGACAGTTCCTGACCCCTGCAGCCACGGTGTGTGTGACTATGACAACATCAGGAGATGGCAGCATGAGTGAAGGGCCCACGGCAGGAAGAGCAGCCTCAGAGGAGAGTAGCATTTGCCTTGGGGTGGTAAGGCTCCCTAGAAATGGATTCGCTGCACCCACAGTTAGCAACTTGCAGGTGTCCCATGTGGGCCTCACCAGCTCTAATAGATCTGCCAGGGCCTGGCACCTGTGGCCAGCCTTGAGCCTCCCAGCCCTGAAACGCCTTCAGGAGAGACAAGAGACACCCAGCAACTGCCCTGTCCTCCTCCAGGGCCCAGCTGGAGTGGCCTGCACACACCCCTGGGGCCCCACTGAATGACTGGCAGGCCACTCCTCACCCTCTTTCACCCTTGCTCTCTCTTCTGCTGTTTCCACTGCTTGCTCCTTCTCAGGCTCTCCTGCTGGTTCTTCACACATACCCCAATCCACAATGTTGGGGCCCCAGGGCTCTGTCCCTGAACCCCTTCTCTTCCCTCTCTGTATCACTCCTTGGGGGAGCTCGTCCAACTTAGTTTCTATTTCTGTGCTTCACTCCCACCGTCTATGTCTCATCCCAGCCCTCCCTCCTGAGCTTCAGCCCATGTCTCCCAGACAGCGCCTGCTTTGCTGCAGACAGCCTGCTCATCACTGAGTGCCCACTGTGTCCCAAGTGCTGGCAACCCTGAGACTGGAAGCCACAGTCCCTTTCCTCTTGGCACTCATGTCCAGCACTGGCCAGCTCCTCAGCACACACATTTTCTCCATGCCCACCTGACTGAAGGACAATGCCACTCAGCCAGGCTTCTGAGGGAGCAGGAGGCCATCTTCACCTCTCCCAACTCCATTCTCCACGGGCAAGAATATTTTTGGAAGCAGCCAGGGCAGTTGACACTGTATCCTTTCCTCCTTTGACCATACTCACCCCCAGCCCCCGCATCAGGAGGCAGGTAGAGTCGCTG